CCAATACCTTGCCTATGCTGGTGAGGCATCGCAAGAAAGTTTGTATTTGCACAACCATAAATAATGTTAAAAAAAAAAAAAAAAAGACCAGCATCATAATATAAAAGGGTTTTTAATAAATGCATATATTAACAATTTACCAGCTATTCTTGAAGTGATGTATGATAAATCCAAATCTCCTTTTGCAATACTGTAACAAAAGAAACATATAAATACAAACCACGCACAGAGCAAAATGTATAACATACGTGTTTAATTAGGTTACTTTAAGTGAAAATATAAATAGATAAATAGTTTCCAAAAAAACATGGTGTGAAAAAAAGAGGATTATTAGCCACTAATTCAAGCTCAAAAAGGTAAAGAACTGACCATACAGCACTCCGAATACAGCCTAAATTACTACAGTCAACCACGTAATTGACAGAGAAAAGATACCTGGAGATAAAGTTAGTGCAGACAGCTAGAATAAAATAAATGGGATAATAAGGATAAAAATGGGGAGGGGGATTGTAAGATGGGAAACCGGTAGTGCCTTCCACAAGCAAATCAAACGTGCAGCCCAGGAGAGTGCTGTTTGGTTCCCACAAACAATCGCTACTATGGGGAACAATTGCTACTATAAGCCAGGGGACTCTGTTCATGCATTTATTTGTTTTTATGACTTTTCTAAATAAACCGACCGCACATCCTAAACTCACAGAACTGTTCCTGGGCAGGAGCCTCGTGTGCGGTCGGTCAAATGGGACTTCCATTAAATTCAAAAACCCCTGAACTGATCTGGGTGATTTTTGGATATGTTGGTCACCCAGATCAGAGCTATCAGGGGATGCAACTTGTATGGGGATACTTTGTGTTTTAGGGTACTTTCCAAATTTTGGGAAAATTATGTTTTTACCTCATGGAGATAATTGAGTTATTAAGTTAGCTGACAATTATCTCACAGGCAGAGAGGAGGGCATGGTCTGTTTGCACTGGGAGTGTTCATCTTTGTCACTGTAATATTATTGGCTGTAACTTTTGTGTCCCTGTCCCCCACAAGGTCCATGTGGGAGTAACCCTTGCATGGGGACTTGCGTAAAAGCCAGTGTGGCACCATTAAAATTCATTCCGGTTGTACTCTTCATGAGTCTAGGCTCCTGTTGTGGTAACCGTCTACTTGCTGGGGAGAAACTACTTGGAAGCTGCATTCATCTGAAACTCTTCGTATCTACACCCGGGAGGAATAGGCGAACAGGATATCTACTATACCAGTGTTCGTAACAACCATATCCAAGCCTTTGAAAAATGTCACATTGAACCTATTGAAGGGGCTGGATTCTTGGAGTGCCAATGAATAAGGGAAGGCCGCTTGCTGTGTGTGTTAGTGTATTCAGCGTGAAGGTGTGTATTTATCAGTGTGTCTGTGTGTGTGTGTATTTTGTAGTGTCTGTGTGTGTGTGTGTGTGTATTTTGTAGTGTGTGTGTGTATTTTGTAGTGTGTGTGTGTGTGTGTGTGTGTGTGTGTGTGTGTATTTTGTAGTATTTAGCAATCTAGGCGTGGAGAGCAGAAAGAGGGAATGAAGAAGATGACAATTACACACAGAGAGACTGTGGATGTGAGCAGGGACACACAGAGGGGCTGGGGAAGAGGTCAATGACACACCAAGGGGCAGGGCAGGAGACAGGAACACACAGAGGTGCTGGAGAAGGGGACAATGACACACAGAGGAGCTGGGGATGGAGATAGGGACACACAGGGGGGCTGAGGAAGGGGACAATAACGCACACAGAGGAGCTGGAAAAGGGGACAGTGACGCAGACAGGCTGGGAAGAAGATCAAGAGACACACAGGAACTGGGGAAGAGGACAATGACACACAAAGGGGCTGTAGGATGTAAGAGAAACACAAAGGGGCTGGGGGAAAGTAAAAGACACAAAGGGGAAAATAAGACACATAAGGGGGGCGAGTAAGATACAAAGGGAAAAAATGGAGGATAAAGTAAACTAAGGGGGCTAGATACACTAAGAAGGGCAAGACATTCAAAAGATGGGATACGAAAGACAAGAGAAGATCAAGAGACACAAAAATGTATTTTTTCTAACAGACTCTCTTATGAATGCCGAGATGGCCTCTGTTAGAGGGCCCCTTCAGGGCCCTTTACTATTATTATTACTGGCATTTATAATGCGCAAAAAGTGCTGTGGGTGCTATCTGGTACTGTGGGCACATCCTGATGCTATAGTTAGTGCTGTGAGTGTCTCCAAGTACTGTGGCAACAGCTTTGTGTGCAGTCATTTTTATGTTTATAATTCAGTTATTCAGTGCCTTGATCTTGTGTGTATGACTAACGTGGTGCATTGTATAGTGTTAATATTAAAACAGATTAGCAATTGCAACACTTAAATCAGACAATGGCAACATGATTCTTTTATTAATCTTTTGCCTCTTTCTCAAATCTTTTGCATGCCTGCGCTTTATGTGATAATGACTATGCCCCTCCCCTCCATGACATTGTCAAAAAGGGGCAGAGCATGAATGCAATTACAAATATGCCCCCCCCACCCTGGAAAAATTCCTGCTTATGCCCATGGAGGGTGCCAGTGTATTAATTTGAGGGAGGGGGGGGGGAGTGTATTAAATTGGAGGAATTGAGGAGGTCAGTGTAATAGAGTGTTGGAGGGGGGCAGTTCAGTGTATTAATTTGAGGGAGGGGGGGCAGTGTACTAAATAGGGGGAGGGAGTGAGGCAGTGCAGATGAGTGGTGGGAGGGGGCCAATGTATTGAATTGGGAAGCGGGGCAATGTATTAATTTGAGGGAGGGGCAGTATTCATTTAGGGGAGGGAGTGGGGCAGTGTTAAATTGGGGAGAGGGAACTCAGTGTATTAAATTAGAGTGGTGGGAGTGAGGGTAGTGTATTCAATGAGAGTGGAGGGAGGAGGGGCAGTATATTAGATTTGGTGGAGGGGCTGGTGTATTAGAGTGGGGAAGTGTATTGGATTTAGAGGCAGTGTATTAGATTGAGTCTGCATGGAGGTGCTGAACGCTCACCATAGAGATGCTGATTGGCCGCGCAGCATTTGCCACACAATAGCCTCCCAATGCTTTCCTATGGGAAAGCAGTGGATTGACGGAGATCATTAAGCAAAAGTGAAGAACACACTCATATGACTTCAAAATCAACAAGATAACGTACTTTGTTGTTTACACATTCACAATTTCAGTCCCCTTTGGGTGAAACACGTTAGTGTTTTTATGTTATTGGTTTTATTATCTTTGTTTTAAAGATCCCAGACTCAAACTGTTCTAATCGTCACATCAAAACTAATATCACTATTTTGGTCTCAAAACCCCAATGCACAATTTTCTACTTCGCTAAACGAGAAACAAAAAGCGTAAATTGGGGTGGATGCACGATATGTCTTTGAGACAGAAGAGACAGGATTTGGTGATATAGACCGGACATGAAGGGTAAAGAGGAGGTTGGAGTCAAAGAGAACACTTAGGCAGCAAGCGTGCAGCAAGCAATTTTTTTGGACAGGTTAAATTTAATGAAATGAGCAGCCATCCCGTTAGAAATAGCAAAGAAGCGGTCAGAGATACTCTGGCGACAGATCAGGACAGGTAGATTTGCGTGTCATCTGCATAGAAATGATAATGAAAGACAAGGTAGCTGATGAGTTTACCAAGGGAGGCAGTATAGATGGAGAACAGGAGGGGAACAAAGACATAACCTTGGGGAAAGATCAACAGAGAGGGGTTAGGGAGAAGAGAAAAACACTGAAAGAGTGCTGGTAGAGGTAGGAGGAACACCAGGAGAGAGCAGTGTGTTAGGGTATTTCCACTGGCAGACTTTTTTTTGTTAGTATAGAAATTAAAAATGTATACTGTAAGTCACAACTTAGCAGATGTGACTTATATTTTATTTATCAGTAACTATTTATTCAAAAACCCTGGCAAAGCAACGCGGCTAGCATAAACATTGACCAGAGATATGACTCTCTGCAAAAAGGGAGGTAGAAAAAGCAACAGCCAGCCCAGAAATACATATGTTTATATATGGACACACACACCCACCTATATGCATACATACCTACATATATATATATATATACATATATATATATATATATATATACACACACACGCATATACATACCTACATATATATATATATATATATATATACACACACACACATATACAT